TAAAATGGGTTTAATCGAGCAAAGTAAAAAAACCGCCTACTACTAAAAAATTAAATATTTTAGTTAGACTTTTTATTATTCCAAAGATATATAATTCACAAAGATTTTCTGAAATTTTCAAAGGCAAATATTCAAAACTCGACCGATAGTCCCTCGGAAAAAAGATGCCTCCGTGTTGACAGCAGAACTGCTTACATTATTAAAGACTATAATCAAGGTATTGGACGAAGGGAAAACAAAAAAGTAAAACTAGAAAACTTCACAACCAACGTTAAAAGTTTTAAGTGACTATATAGCTGACCTCGAGCGTACAATTTTTCAAGATTGGATCTCCAAAACAATTACTCGGATCTTTTTGAGAATTTAAGATAATATTGTAAATATGTTACATAATTAAGTAAGACAACTTTTTTTTGAAGTCGTGTAACTCAGGAATGATAGGGTTGGAGGTCAGTGTACACGTCGTTTGTAATGTTACTACTGCTTGTCGATCAGTAAAAACATATCTGGGCAATTCCGTTAACATAGACGTCTAGACGTCGATGGGAGACATCAAGAGACATCCTATCGTGGTTCGGAGTGCAGTGTTCTGGCAGGTCTGTAGCTTCCTCATCTGCGTTCCACCGCATCCAGGCGACTATATTCGTGCGGCGTAGTTAACGATCGGCCGTCCGATTGCCTTGTAAGTCGCCAACAACGTTGTGTGGATTTGGTGGGGGAGAGTATTAGATTCCATACAGAGAAGAAGGGAGAAAGGTCGGAGATTTGGCTAAATCGACACCTTTTTTATAGGATCTTCTAGATATTATGAACTTTGTGGCAATTTTAATATACCCCGTTCAGTATAAAAAGCTCAGTGTACATATATACATAGTACATTGTTCTACGACTCTCATTGAAGCATTCGAGCCTAATCAACCGTGATTTGTTTAAATTGACAACGGCGTCAACGGCGTCAACGGCATCGATTTGCAGTAGCGCTTAGCCAAGCAGACGGAATGTTGAATCTTCAACAATACTGATCACTTTTGAAGGCTTAATGAGCGTTCGCCAATATAATGGCGTTTGGGTTAAATTTCYYTATACAACAATCTAAGTATGTACATATATATATATATATATATATATATATATATAAGGTATATGTAAATACATATTCATTTCGATATTATAATAACATATAATATATTTTTATATGTACATATATACATACATATATTAATAATATACATACATACATGTACTGAAAATTCAACGATATGCAAAAGTAAATAGAAAATATGTGTGGGTATTCTGTATAAATTTTCCACACCCAATGAAGGCCTAACCATTTACTGCTCAGCATTTTCGAAGGAATATACTCCAAAATTCGGAGAAATAAGATATCAACTACGTAAATATCGAATAGCAATGTCGCTTCAAACAAACTAGAAGAGAAGTAAAAAAAGATTACCTTACTCCTATATCCACGTTAGTGTTTATGTAATATGTGTTTTTTTGATTGTTGTTTCACGAAATGAAAATGTATGAATTTTGTTTTTTATCGTTGTTTCACGTAAATAAAATGTGTGTTTGTTGGTCTTTGATTGTTGTTGCACGTAAATAGAGTGTGTGGATTATTGCTATGTCCAAAAACTCGTAACACTACCGCAGACACTTTTCCGAGAATTTTCTCGTAAGCATATTTGCTACAGCGAACAGCTACATTTCAAAAATTAAAACAAAAAATTAAAAGTAAAAAAATTAATTAGCTTATGTGTTTAAGAAATATCTGCAAGTGTCACCTTTTTGACTGCCACAAGCATTAAACAATTTCTGCGGTGTCTTCATTTCAATAAATCGCCAAATATTTACATTCCATTAATCCTTGCAGAATGTGCACATTTTTATTATTTATTTTAGTATATTTATTAATTTAAAGATATTTAGTCTTGGTCAACAAATTAGAATTTGCTTAGCAGTGCTCCGCACGCTGCCGAATTAAAATAACATTTCTCTCGCCAATCGATTTGTTTACAACATACATCGCGTTATATTATTATAGTAAGTAAATGATAATGTGTAAGTGAGATAAAAACGTTCAAATTGAATGCTTTAAAAATATGTTAAGTCCAAAAAGTGCATACATACAATGTAACGCAAAAAAAAGTGAAATTATAAGAAAAACGAACTGATCGTAGCACACTACGTACATACGTATGCAATACACATTACATTTACGCGCTTATTATCAATTATATTTTTATCATTGGTTAGGTTTTTCATCATGGCCGTTTTCATCGTACTGCATACTGCATGCATAAAATTTCGTGTTCGCACCAAAAATTTGACTTTACAACTGTCACAATATTTTCAACTACATCTACACATACATATAGCTGCGCTTTACGTTTTACGTTACACACTGCGCTTTATCCGGTTTGACATTGTACACTATCGAAATGTGGTGTACCATCTTCGTCGTCATCATCCATGCCACCATGTGCACCAGCATGACTTCCTTCGCCAAAGGGTGGCACCTCCATCATCACAACTTCTTCTGCATCTTCCGGCATTGTGAAGGGTGGGCGTGGTGGTAGTAGCGTCTCTAGCAATTGCATTTGTTCTATAGTCGCGAAATTATCATCAGGGAAGTCAATGTTGAATTCCACAAATAAATCGCCACGTTCAAAGGGATTATTGCGCAAAGGCATACCCTCACCGGTGACTACCCTTAGTTCGGCATGCTTTATAACATCGCCTGGTTTATTTGTCATATATATGGTGCGCCCATCTAGATGTTGGAAACAATGCACAAATCCACATAATGCTTGTGTAACATTTATGTGTATATCACGCAGGAATAAATCGTTTTGTTTTCGTATGAAAACAGGATGTTCGGCTTGCACTAAAACTACTATAAGATCGCCACGTTCGCCTACCAAAGGCTGATTGCCCGCTGATGCGAATAGTACTTTCAACATATTTGGTGCACCTTTCTCAATAGGCACTTCTTGCTTTACCTCCTCTTCCACCAAGCCACTGCCGCTACAAGTGGTACAGCGGCATTCTTCTGGTATGGTTGTGCCACGTCCATTACAAGACGGACAGGTCTGTGTGCATGTAAAATATAAATATTTTACTATAAGAATTACTTTTTTAACTTATTCTTTACTTACGGACTCAAATGCGTTCACAAAAGCACCCATAAATGAGTAGTTTGCAGTACGACCTGTACCATTGCACGCTTTACATTGATCCATATTAGTTTTTGGTCCACCTCCACCATCGCATGCCGCACAATAGGAAGTCCGTGTGTATTCAATAGACTTTGAGACATTGCCGTTGAACAATTCTTCGAGCGTCACTTCTAGTTTTTTAACCACTTGTGCTGCTGCACGCGCTCGACTATTGCCCCCACTGCTACCAGTACTATGACTATGGCCTCCACTGAATGGAAACCAATGTGAGAAGAATTCTGACGCATCGCCGAAACCATCACTGCCTTCTTGTAGCCCTTTCAGTCCATAGCGATTGTAGATTTTACGTTTGTCTGGATCAGAAAGTATCTCGTATGCAAATGATATTTCTTTAAATTTGTCACCAGCTTCTGGATTCTTGTCCGGATGAAATTCTTTCGCCAATTTTCGATAATTCTGAAAATGTTTATTAATATTATTGATTACTTATAACATTACTACAGAATAAGAATCAAAAAAATTGGCACATACAATATATGTAAACAAAGTCAACCTATAGCGACCAGCTGTTTTGTGGAACTTATTCCCCGCAAATAGCAAATAATTACAACCGACAAACAGCGATGCGTTATGAAAGGTTTCCCCCTTTGCGGCGCGGTCAAATATACCTAAAGCAACTATAAACTTTCATAAGCTAAATGAAAGTATACTCGTTCCTAACGGGATTTTGTAAAGTTCTGACCTTTCGCTTACGCCATCGAAGGGCTCTAAACTGTTGCATTCAATATTTATATTGTCGTTCTCAATGAACTGCGCCAAGCACCCGCGGCTTTCTGGCCAATTTGATTCATTCGCTAAATTTCGTGCTGTACGTAAAACGAATCCTCCAAATGCTCACCTTTTTAATTTCAGCATCTGTTGAATTTTTATTCACTCCAAGAATTTCGTACAGCTCTACATTCTCCATAATTGAAACTTTCTAAATTTTTGGCAAAAAAAATCAATTTTCCTCAATATTTTCCGTCGACACAAACACAAAATAACAGTTGAGAAAATTTTGCATTGAGAAAGCTTTCTGTCTTCTTCCTACGTTCATTAACAACGGCGACGGCAATGATGAGCAAATTGACAATTCGCTTTTCTTGAAGTGTTGTCAACTTTTTGAAAATCTTATAGGGATTTTATTGTTTATTTTCAATGTGAAACTATAACCTAAAAAATTATTTTATAAATGGATGTGGCGATGTATAAAAAGTTGTGAAAAAGAAATTACATATATGCAAGACTTTCGTCTATAACAACTATTTTTTTTCTCAAATAATGACTTTCTAAATAATTTAATGTAATCAACAGTGTATTGGCAACCCTCATCTTGCACCTGAGCGAAAATTTTCCACTCAGTGTTGCACTGTTATTAAAAAGGCACTTATTGGAATATATAACAAAGATTACCTTTTTTATGAAATCGTTAATAAACCGATGCTTCTTATTCAATATTTGGTGGCATTTTATCCTATAAGAAATAATATGACTCAATTACTTTTGTTCAGATGCTACTATTTGGTCTGAAAAGAACGAGATACTACTACGCTTTAACGAATGTTGAAGAAAGTACCAGAATTGCACACAGCAACCCCATCACACGACGGCCATTTTTGTTCACGTCATTGACGAGCCACCAAAAAATATTTTCGTCTGTGTTTGGGCGAGGATCATTTGCTGCAATTATCGTGTTAAATATTCGCAAAAATTAACAAAAATTACGAAAATTGATATTAGAATTTCTAATTAATATATGAATAAATAATAATATCAAAAAATTTAAAAAAATGTTAAATGAAAAACGCGGTTTTTCTTAGCGAAAAGTGTGAAAAAACGGCGGAGAAAAATTTTACATCAGCAAAAGAGACGAGAGGAAAATTTTGTGTGTACCAACGAAGAAGTGACGAAAACGCAACATACGAAGACGGATAAACAAGGCGAGGAGTGAGTGCGAGAAAGTACGCGTTAGTTGTTGGTCTCCAAACTGAGGTGGGAAAGAGAGAGAGTTGTCTATTATCATTTATACAAGATTATAAGGAAAGGGTTTTTCGCATTATTATCATAGAAGGTGGTTTCTATAAACCAAGTGGATATGATGGAAAGTTTCGAAGAAACTCATATAGGCACTTCACATTCTGATAAGCGTGATTTGCATGATGTGAAAATACATGAAACATGTTTGTCGGCCAATTGTACAACACTCGTGGCCAGTAAACAGAGTTTTGATTTTGGCGCCGAAATAGTTGATACACAAACAATAACACCAAAACGCGAAAGCAATATGAAAACAAACTGCGAAAGTATAGCAACAACTGCAACAGTGGCGGTAGCAGCATCTACCTCGCCTGATGAAATTCCAGCGGCAAATATTGAAACACCATTGAATGTTGTCGAACTGCCAACAAAAGACAATTGTATAAATGAAGAAGACGATGAAGATGATGATGGCGAAGATGACGGCGCTGACAGTTATCAAACAGACGATGATTTATTGGAGGAGGGAAACGAGGAGTCCCAAGAATTTAGTGGTAATACAAATAATGAAGTTTCCCAGAACAGTGACGAGTCCACATCTGATTCGGATTATTCTGATTTGAGTGGCTTATCGGATATGTCTGGCCGTGAATGGAAACCAATAAGCGCACGCCCAATTAACTGGGTACAAAAGCAAATTCACGCTGGCGCTAATCCGCGTGATTTACTTTCACAAATGTTGCCTTCCAATGCACATCCAATAGCGCCAGGTGTGAATGACATGATGCTATGGCGCATTCTGGCTAGCATGCTATCCGAACCGCCGCGACGCCAGAAACTACGTTATATCAACACATTTGAAGATGTCATACAGTTGATACAACAATCCACAAATATTATTGTGTTAACTGGTGCCGGTGTATCTGTATCTTGTGGCATACCAGACTTTCGTTCTAGTGATGGTATCTACAGTCGTTTGGCAAAAGATTTTCCCAATTTGCCTGATCCACAAGCTATGTTTGACATCAACTACTTTTCACGTGATCCACGACCATTCTTCAAGTTTGCTCGCGAAATATATCCAGGACAATTCAAACCGTCACCATGTCATCGTTTCATTAAATTACTCGAAGATAAGCAAAAACTTTTAAGGAATTATACACAAAACATTGATACGTTGGAACAGGTGGCTGGCATTAAAAATGTTATTGAGTGCCATGGTTCGTTCTCGACCGCTTCTTGCACCAAATGCAAAGTTAAGTGCACCGCTGACGCAATACGTGAAGATATTTTCTCACAGCGCATCCCAGTCTGTAGACGTTGCCAGCCGAATGTGCATCAGAGTGTGAACGCTTCCGATGCTGTATCTGACGCTGACCTAAGACAACTTGTGGAGAATGGTATAATGAAGCCAGACATTGTTTTCTTTGGCGAAGGTAAGTGCACTATTGAAGTTTCATAGAAATTCGCTTTATTTTTTTTTCAATTAGCATTCTTTACAAAATATTATTTTATGACTTATATATATGATATTTCTTCTATAATCTAATTACATTTAAAATATTCAATTCAGGTCTTCCTGAGGAGTTTCATACAGTCATGGCAAGTGACAAGGATAAATGCGACCTGTTAATTGTTATAGGTTCTTCTCTTAAAGTGCGGCCGGTAGCATTGATCCCCAGCTCAATACCAGCTAATGTTCCGCAAATACTTATCAATCGCGAGCAATTACATCATCTTGAATTCGATGTGGAATTATTGGGAGATTCAGATGTTATTATTAATCAACTTTGTCATCATTTGGGAGACGATTGGAAAGAAATCTGCTACGACAATGTTGTATTAAAAGAATCGAAAGAACTTTTACCCTTGGAAGAGGAAGACAACAACGATGAATGCGAGGAGTACGCCCAACAGATGCTAGATACGGACACACAATCTGTCAAGTCCAGCGCATCCACAGATATAGCGCTACGCTCAGCGGGTGCCTATTCAGACAGCGGATTCGAATCCTCCACATCGTCTGGCATGGTGCTAGCTAAACCCATTGCTACAGTGGCAAATAGTGAGGCTAACGAAGCGATTGAGAAAATCAAGAGCACCATATTAGAACTTAATCATCCGTTAACAAAGACACACGAAGCGAGCGATTTAGAAACAGTAGACTACTTAGTAGATCCCCAAGATGCAGAGGATTTCGAAAATCGTTCATTTCAGCCATTCAATGCGCGCGTGAGCGAGCCCCAACATCACTCCACCTACGGTATGCATGCGCGGCACTTATCCGTAGACTCGTCAAAAGACAGTGGTATTTTGGGCGACTCATCAAACTCTGCGCTTATTTCGAACAATATTGTTGGCACACTACCGCCACCAATTACAAATTTCGGTGATAGTGGTGGCACAACTACCTTGGAAAACTTGAAAACCGCCACAACAACCTGCGCAGACAACACACCAACCACACCAGCAACAACAGATACAACGGTAGAGACTACGCAAGAAATATCAAAAGAATTAGTAGAAAATAAATCGGCAAATATCGCCTTACGACGCGTTGTCAAAAAATACAGTACTGCAGCGCAACGGTTGCTTGAAGGCACCTACTATGCACATGACACCGTTTCAGCTTACGTATTCCCAGGCGCACAAGTATCGTGGTGGTCTGATATGGAGGACGAAGATGGGGACAATGACATTATCGGCAATGTTTACGACGATGAAGATGAGGATGACATTGATGCTAATGGTGGACCTCTATCGCCACTCTTACCGCCATCAGTGGAAGCAGAGGTTGTTAGTGAAATAACAACAACAAGTGCATTCGCAATTTGCGCCAAACAAACGCTACCGGTGGTATACAACAAGATCAGCCACGAAGTACGCAGCAATGAGACGGAAGTACAAATTGTTGATCAACCAACTGGGACTATCGTAAATAATACAACAGCAACAGCTACAACAACATATGCCTGCAGCACAACAGAAAGTAGCGCATACAAGTGCGAAGCTGTGACAGTGCCGCCAACGTTCGCTTCATCACCACAAAAGAGAGCTTGTGAATGCCCGCCAACGCTTGGCAATAACAGTTATGCAAATGCCGCCACAAACGAAAGTAATCGAAGCAATGATGGTAGTATTTGCAATAGCAGTAATAGTGATAATGACAAATGTGTATTCAGTCCGCCTCCCATTAAGCGTATACGCTCAACAGATGATAACAAGACCGCTGTGGATGATGTTGAGCAAACTACAGATTTGGCTACAGTTCTTACACCGACAAGTAGTGTGAGTGCAGTGGAAAGCAGTGTGGCAGTTGCAATGAAACAGCTGAGTACAAGCACAGACAACACGTCGTCGCCATTAGGAGCAACAACATTGCAGAATTAAGTGTATGTATTTATTTTGGTATGACTAATAACGGACCTTACACCGACCGCTTTGGCTTATTCTTGCGCAACTTTAATTGAATAGGAATAGGGAAGGGAACGAAACAATAACAAACAAATGTTTGCATAAATTAAATTTATTTATTTTTTTGCTATATTTTAATAGAATTATAACTGTACATAAATATATGCATTTGACACTTGTCCAATTAAACAAAGAAGTTTTTTGTAAAGTGAATATAACTATTGGATTTTGTTTTGAACTGATGAAAACTGGTTTGGAATTCGAAATTTAGCTTTTTGCAAATATTTTCAACTATTACAACCGTACCTAACTTTTGAGTACTACAAGGTCTTGCATAAATATATATTAGATATGCTACGATTACTTTGTTCGCGTATAATCATAGATAAACAAGTAAAATTCTGTTTGGATAGACTTAAAATGTGATTGTAATATCTTTATTTTCTTTTGTTTTTATAAATATTGCATTATTTTTCATTTCCTGTTTATATTTTATACATAATTTATACAAAAACAAAAAAAAACGTATTGACTTGAATGCTACATACATATATAAAATAATTTAATAGCGCTTTTATTGTGTAATATTGAATTAAAAATGTTTACATTATTTTGCTTATTTGTTTGGATTAGTTTTGTGCAGCATTTGTAATGATTTCCAAAAAAAAAAATATAAACATACATATAGAGATCCTCTTTTCGGATTGTTTTTTACTACAAAAAATTCGGAAATCAATTTTTTATAAAATTTTTGTTGTTTGTTTTATTTATTGAAAATAGTAAAATTTTTTATAGCTAATCATTCTTGAAATATATACACCTGTATTTTTTAAATTTAAAATTTAGATTTTGCATTATGATTTTTGGTTATTAATTTAATTCAAAAATTTTTAAAACACGTTTTTAAACCACTTTGTTATTTTATTTTTTTTT